AAAGGCTACTTTTAAAAATATTAAAAAGATGCATCTCTATAAATGCTGTGAGGAATAATCATATTTGCTCTGGAATATCCGCGTATGCCTTTCTGAGTGGCTCTCCCCAAATTGTGCCCCTAGCTCTCACTTCAGTAGCAATGCTTAGATTGATAAAAAGCCGTTACATATAGAATCTTAGCACAATAGTTGTAACACCTTCCGTCTGGAAAGACACAGATAGTAACTCTTGATCACAAAGGGTTAAAAATGCCCTATTTTCAGTCAGCTGAAAAGATGGGAGGGAAAGGGATGAAAGACCCTTTTATCTCACTGCCAATAACAGATGCTAAGAAAATATAATAGCATCGGGTCATGCTCAGAAGGAAGTGTGGGTATGCCTTGCTTCGGAATTAATATCCCAGGCTTTTTGAACATATGGCTGTTCTGTTCTGCCTTCAGAATTTGAAAATTGCTCATGTTTTAAAATAAACACATGTAACAGATTTTTTTCCCCCTTAACACAACTAAATAAAAAATTGCCGTGAAATAAGAGATAACTCAAGAAGACTGGGTATTGGTATAATTAATAACTTTGTTCCATATGTTTAAAAACTGGTAATATGGATGCAATATTAGCCAGCAGTTTATAAACTGATCTTGATTGCTCTAGAAAAATTATATACCCTTTCCCCTCCCCTTCTGCCCCAAATCCCAGAAATGCTTTGAACACCCGCAAAAGAAAGAAAGAAAACGCCAAGAGAAATGCTGACACCTAGTGGCAGTAGGAAGCATCTGCATCTAGGTTGTCAGGGATTCTTGATAGAAAATATCTTATGCCTTGTATTAAAATACATAGGTTGTGCACAGGGAAGTAAAGCCAAGGAAGAACAGTTTGTTGCAATGGCTCAACTTCAGCAAACTTGATTAAGAGAAAAGCCTTCCCAGGAGAAATCAATCCTTGGCATGAGATTGCTCCACCCACTCTCAATATGGTATAATTTCTAAGAAAGATGAAAGTATTTCTCTCATACTGAAAAGAGCTCCAAGCCATCACTGATAAATAAAACATTTTGTTTTCTCTATTTACTGGTTAAGATGCTTCTACCTCAGTTTTTGGTTATGGAACCCTTAAAGTGGCTAGCAATCATAAAGACATTATAAATAATCAAGAACATGAAGTACATCAATAAAATGTTTTAAAAGAGCAGACCTGGGGGGAAAACAAGTTAATAAAAATCACCCCCCTCCAAAAAAACCCCCCACTAATAAGCCACCAAAAGGCCAAGTCAGCAGTACACTAGAGAAATCAGAATTAAGTCACTCCAAAAGCCTGCCTAAACTGAGCTGGCTTAGCCAATATTGGGAAGGCTAGAAGAAAAGGTGCAAGAAAAACCTCATAGGGGGAGGGAATTCTAGAATCTTGGTACCACTACTGCAGAGGCCTTATCCTGTGTAGCTTCTTACCAGTTTGGTGTGGTGGTTAAGTACGTGGACTCTAATCTGGGAGAACCGGGTTTGATTCCCCACTCCTCCACTTGCACCTGGCTGGATGACCTTGGGCAAGCCGTAGTTCTGATAAGAGCTGTCCTTGAAAAAAAGCAGTTTCTGTCAAGAGCTCTCTCAGCCCCCCCTACCTCACAGGGTGTCTGTTGTGGGGAGGGGAAGGGAAAGGAGGTTGTAAGCCGCTCTGAGACACCTTTGGGTAGTGAAGGGGGGGGTATAAATCTAATCTCTTTTTCTTCTTACCACACATCTGCATACGAGGAACATGATCTCTCCTAAGATCTAAGCACAAACTCAGGTTGTTGCTAGGAAACCCAGCTCCCACCCTTCTGGGGTGCCAGGAAAGGAGGAATAGAAGTTTGTAGTTTTCTATATACTTTCACCTTGTCCAATGAATATTGGCACACTATATAATCTCATTCATCAATAGGTGAGAGTGTCAGGTACAGTGTGCTGAACCCTCTCTTATGACAGCCCAATCTAGAGAACTGCGTTCGATTCTGCACTCCGCCACATGAAGCCAGCTGTGTGACCTTGGGTCAGTCACAACTCTCTCAGCCCAAAAAATAAATCTAGCTCGCCACCTAGTGGTGCATAATGCTAAAAAAGAGCTAGTACTTCAGACAGCCAGGCAATCTTAGGATCTGGCTATACTGCACACAATGCCATACGATTTTTTTTTATTTGCTAAAAAAGAGCTAGTACTTCAGACAGCTGGGCAATCTTAGGATCTGGCTATACCGCACACAATGAAAACTGAGGTTACTTATGCCAATCAGGAACGCAGCAAAAATCATGGTACTATGTTTCAATGGGGCTGAAGAACTTCCTAGCATCCTTCATCGTTCTTAGCCCATCTTAGAACAGCTGCTAGACAAGAATTGCATCGGTTGTTCAAATACATAAAACATGGAAACTCAGAAGCCAAGGTAAAGTGTAAAGTGATCACAGCTATCCAATGAAGAAAGATTATGCTGGGACAGGTCCAGCACCTGAAAACTGAGGTTACTTATGCCAATTGTATTTTAAACATTTAGGCTTCAACATCGCTCTTTTTTATTTTAAGGAACGGCAGATTTAATTAATAGCTATTGTGGCTGCTAATGCATTATCCTTAGCAGGAAGAGCACTGAGCAATGGCAGATGTGTTCCAGGGCACCCCTCCCTCCTCCTCTCCCCACTCCCTGAATCCTTACTGTTAAAATAGTTGGGGTCACAAATGCCCAACAGACCCTCCAGAATTTGCTTGGCTGGAATCCAATCATCATCTCAATATCTTCACAAAATCTTTGCAAGCCTGTAAAACAAACACATGTAAATTAAGTTTTAAAAAATGCAAAAGAGACTAGGCTGCAGCTTACAAAATAGCAATACAGATCTCCCTTGTGACTAATTATGGGAACAGACACTCCCGACTTGTCAGTCTAATTCCTTAAAAGATATTCTATCCATGTGGTATAAAGTGGAGTATTATATGGAAAACCATTCTAATAAATTATTTACTCCCCAAAATGATATTTTACATACATATTAAGCATCTTTCAGAAAGCTGTTTTCTTACCATCCTGGGACACAAAGAATGCTACTTTAGTTATTACAGATACAGTAGTATATACTTATTTTTTCCCCATTTTTATCCTGAATCCTTACAGCCAGGCACTGTTTTTGTTGTGATGAAAGTCTATGCAAGTTCTGCCTAGAGGCTGCACAGCTGCATTATTTTCTTTTGCAAACAAAGTTTTAAAAATCTGAACCATATTGTAAACATACCTCCCACTTACAGAGGGGCCATTACTGTTTCCATTAGTATTAACGAAATCAGGCTAATGCTTATAACACACCTTTTGTGGCTGGTTGTGGTGGTGGTATTCATAAGTTTCCCACTGGTAAATTATAGGATTTGTTATATATCTCAGTCCCTGTTACCGTAAAGTGCCAGGAGTTTCTAATCTAGGATTTTGGGAGCCAGGGCTTAGTGCCTGACTTCCTGAGTAGGGTTGCCCGGTACCCTGGCCACCGGTGGGGGAGCTATTGGAGATTTGGGGGTGGCACTTGGGGAGGATAGGGACCTCACTGGGGTACAATGCCATAGAGTCCACCCTCCAAAGCATCCATTTTCTCCAGGGGAACTGATCTCTGTAGTCTGGAGACGAGTTGTAATTCTGGGGGATCCCCAGGTCCCACCTGGAGGCTGGCATCCCTATGCTCTGAGCCACCACAGCCACGGGTGAGCCTGAGCCTGAAGGGAGCCTCAGCCCCATTCCCCAGGGTGGCCACTCTGAGAACTGCATCCTCGACAGAGCAACCCTAAACAAAGTTATACCCTTCTAAGGGCACTGGAGACAATGTGCTTAGAAAGGTATACCTCTGTTTAGCTCTGTGAGTGAGCAAATCAGGGCAGGGCAGGAGCTGTCTAAGCTCTGCCTCTGACTTGGTTCCTCAGGCCCAACCGGCATCTAGCATTTGCTCCGCTGTTTTGCCAAACCCAAACTGGAACAGAAAAAGATGCAGCTCAAAACCACATTCAAAAATAGCCCGGGCCAACACTGTACTGACTGCAGAGTCACCCCTGCAGGTACGCACAGGAACAGAGTTCCGACTGGCTCCTGAGTTGGCCACGCCCAGCAGGAGCTCATTAGCATAATAGGCCACACCCAACAGCAGAAACCCATTAGGATTGGCTACATTAGGGGTGTGTGGCCTAACATGCAAAGGATTCCCTGCTACCAAAAAAGGCCCTGGGTTTTGACAACAAACAAGGTAAACAGAATAAGGAGCAAAAGGTGGGTGTGGCTGGATGACCACACTTTTGGCAACACTGGGCTGTGGCCTAATATGCTAATGAGATATGGTGGCAGGGTGTGGCCTAATATGCTAATGAATTTCAGCTGTTGGGTGTGACCTATTATGCTAATGAGTTCCAGCTGGGCTTTTTCTACAAAAAAACCCTCTGATAATGGCCATAAATCTATCCAGACGCTACCATAACACTGAGAGATCAAAGGAAGTGAAAGCCGGCATGCAGTCTGGACACTGCCATAAAATCTGACAATTCATCAAAGTGAAAGTGGCATGCCATGTAGAGGGGAATTTCTGTTCCAGCCGTGGGTTTGTTAACACAGCAGAGCAAATGCTAGATGCCGATTGGGCCTCAGTCCGAGTGCCTTGCTTAATGTCAAAGGATTTATTTATTTATTTAGATTTTTATCCTGCCCCTCCCCCAGATTGGGTGATTTGGCTTTGCACCACCTGTTTATGGGATTCTAGGATTCTGTTGACCCCCCAGTCATACCTCCAGCCTCTGGCCCTCCTGACAGCTCATCGGGCATGAGGGTCTGTCTGCCCCTCTTATCTCACTGCCTGCCTCAGGCCAAACCATTTCAGCTTCTTGCCCAAGGAAGCTGGGCTAACTGGGCTCAGTCCTACCTGATCCTGACAGCTACTGACATGCTACAAATGCATCTTATCTTTTTCTTTTTAGTCTTTTAATGCAGATATTTAACTCAAGCTAGTAACTCTGGACCAACAACCAAAACAGGCTTCAGTGCTGTAGTGAGGTTGTATGGGGTTCTGTGCAGGGAAGGAAGTCCCCTGTCTTGCTTGAACTTTCTGGTCAGCTTCCCAGGGTCTCTGCCTCTGTTGGCTTCCTACCCCAAACTCAAAATAGCATTTGGTGCATCTCACTGAAATCCCTCTTTGGGCCAATCAATATTACAAGGCAAAAATCTCCTAGATTCTGGCTTGGGCGTCAGTATTAAAGTTGGGTTCCTTTTAGTGCTCCTAAGAACAAGAGCAAAGTGTTTAGGAAAATAATCTTCATACCAACATTTCCTCTGTTATCAAGGAATAAAATTTATGCTAAAACATTAAACAGCATACCAATAAAAATTATTAAGTGAAACCATCCTGGGCATTGTTTGAACAGAACTGTTTCCTTTGACATTAATTCCTACATTATTTCAGTTCATTGACTCTTTTGTTTGCCAGACCTTCACAAGATGGCCACATTATCTGGTTTGTTGAGCCAGTTCTATGCACACAGCAGGTGCCTTCGGGTCTGATTTATCAAGGGACAGATATTACATTGGAGCGACGTTCTTTCCAGACTCGCGCGCAGCAGCACAACCCCGCTTTGCACCAAGTAAGGATTAGACTGAGTGATTTCTTTTCCTCAATTTCTCATTGTCATTCCGCTCACCTTTCTACCACTAAGTAAACCACCTCTGCTCAGTAATAGACGTTTTCTAGCAGAAACCCTGCAATGCTGAAGCACTGCCACGGCTATTAATTATTCACTCGCAAAGAACAAAACCATCCCACCTCAACGCAAAATAAAACGTGTCACTTCACTGCTTCTGTGGAAGTGACAGGAAGTGAGGGATCAAGGCTGGTTTTTCTCTGTGATGTGCATTTCAGATTTTTAGCCTCCCTCTGTGAAAAAAAACAAAATATGATCCCCCCACCAAAGTACACACAGTCCTTTCCATCGTATTGCATCAACTGTGGCAAGTGGATGGAGTTTTTAATTATGTGGATTATCTAGCAGCAATATGGCAGAAGTTATGCCTTCTGCTTATGGAGCAGTTTTCTCTCTCTCTCTCACACACACACACACACAAAATCAGTTACTACTAACCCCCCCCCCGAAACATCAGATAATGACTTACGTCTGAAACAGCCGTCACAGAACCAGCTCCAGACATGAAGTTCTCCTGTTATCCAATACTGCCTCATACCATTTCTTTCCCCTAATAAATCCTTAGTACTAGCGCTGAAAAACTAAGGAAAGACTTGAAAAAATACTTACAGGCTTGTTGCAATTCTCTTTGAGCTATAGTATTGTGGTCATTGCTGGCCATTTCACTAATGACTTAGATGTGCTATGTTCACTGTTTAATGTTTACCTTTGTAGGCTCTCGATAACAAGTACCCTTATCACATAGTCACTCATGCCCCAGGCTAAACCCATGTGTGAGAAACTATACAGAGCAGGAAATTAAACTGGAGGGCTTAAACTTTGAACAATAAGAGATTAAAATGTAACACAAAATAAATGGCATGAAAATTATTCAATGTTATCTTAGTATGGGAGCTTTAAAAAAAAAAGCCATTCCTTTTCCCAAGGAGTCCAAGGCAGCATACATTTCCCTTCATCCTCCTGAGGCAGGACTGGCCCAAGGTCACCTAGTGAGCTACGGTTCTGAGTAAGCTTTTTAACCCCGGTTACCCTGGTTACCCTAGAGATGTGAAGGCCTGGATACAAATAACGTGTGTCCCCCCCAAGACTTTCCCCCAAATTTTTCCTACTAAAAAACTGAAAATTTTGGGGAGTATTGAAAAAAAGTCCTATGAAATCTATTAACTTTTAGAATTACAGAATGAGTGAAATGTTTTTAATGACAAGGTGGGTATGCTTTAGACCTATGCAGCTGTTAAATCCAAAATACAGTTCTGCACCTAGAAGTATACCTAATCTTCAGGAGGGGAGTATGCAGGGCTTTCATTGCTTCTTAACTGCTGCATACCTTCTGTTGTCCTTTTGACCTGATGTGGCTGAGCTTTTCACTTCTCCCTCAAACTACGGTGACACATTTAGCCACAGGTTGGGTAAAAAGTAGCTTACTGCCCTAACTTACAAGAGGGAGAAAAAAGTTCAGAAGGAGGTGGGGCAAAAACTGCATCAAATCCTCAGAGGAAAACTGAAAGTGTCATTGAGAACTTAGCTCTCTCTCTAACCAGATACCAAAAATTAAGGTACATGTGCTAAGATAGCACTGGGTACATCAGCATGCAAGTATTGAATATATATTGCAATTTTGCTTGTATAAAACTAAGCCATTTATAACTTTTAAATTCCATAAATATGTCAAATATTGCAATTTTATATGCTAAGTAAAGGATGGATTTTATGTTGCTAAAGCAGTAAAAATAGTTTAAGTGTGATAGGACAGTAAGTACTGAACATATTTCAATTTTTCAAAAAAAAAAACTTCCCCCAGGGCGGAGTTGTTCTTTTTTGGACATTTTACATCTCTAAGTCTGACACTCAAACCACTACACCATACTACACAAAACTACACAACAGACTCTCTAGGTTCTGATATGAAACTTCAAATAATGCATGTAAATTCAATAATTTACTTGGAATGTTCACATATACTCCTCTGCAAGAACTGCTTGAGGCATTTGATGGCTACAATTTAAAAGTGAAGATTTTCCCAGGCTGGACTTTTGTAAGGTAACTGGGAAATCTAGCCTTCCAACTCCTATTTCTCTCTGTCTGCGTAGGTATAGATA